CTACTAGAACCGAACATGCTGCACAGGCATGGCCTTTCAAGGAAGGTTGTGGCGTTCCCTGCAGCCTGGCCTCAGAACCGAACGGAGGAATCTTTGGAATCTTTGGTTAAAGGAGCTTTTAGGCCATTTGGCTTTAGAGCCTTAAAGAGATTTGGAGAGTCTAGACCGTGGCTATCTTCCAACTATTTAGAGGCCTGGCGGCCTGGCTCTTTCCTGCCTATGCAGATTCAGGCAGAAGCCGACAGATTCACTGCTGAGTAGGTTGTTCTCCCGCGGCCTTTCTTTATGGCCCTTCGTCCTCATTCGACATATGCCTTATGCTTTTCGCGTCGTGCGAGAGGGGCAAGTCAAAAACTTTTTGAGCCGATCATCTGTGCGATGCTACGCTGCCACGCGGAAGTTTGCGGGGGGGAATGCCCAGGTTGAATGTACCTATTCCTAGAAGGTCCTGACACCTGGTAACCTAGTACACAAAAGAGAAGTTACACCCCATGACAGCGACCCTCCACCACTCCTTAAATATTGAGGAGAAAGGTTTCCGGGTCTACCTGCTACCTATTACGGTAGGCAACCTGCCTCGGTTGCAAGAGCCGGAACAGGCATCATTTGCAGTGGGATCGGCTCTGAGTCTGCTCATCTCAGGCTGATGCCAGCAGAACTTCAAAGCAGTAGACACAAAGATCCTGCCAGCTTTTTGGGCTTGGGACCGATTGCTGCGGTTTTTTGCATGAAACAGGGCTTACCGGACCTCGTTTCGGACACCTTCGGAACTGCAGCTGCCAATGGTGTTGTCAAGCCCCGAAACATGTAAGGTGATGTGGTCTGGCGAAGGCATGCTGATAATCCCACTCTGTTGCACTAATTAGTGACTGCCGAGGCTTCACCCGTATGAATAACAAAAGCGACTTTTGCGACTGACCGATGAAGTGGATGTATCACCCTCAGCAAGGGAGCTACTACGATAGAGCTGCTGAACGAGTGTCAGTTCGGCGCGAGACATGACGATGGCAAGATGGAGTCAGGAGGACTCATAGGTCGAAGCCTTGCATGTACCAACATCATACACGAAGCCCCTATGTAACTAGTTTCGCCATCTCCTTACTATGAGACCTCATGTGCTGAAACGGGCTGCAAGGTGTACACATGATGCACCTGTCTTGCAGATACACGGTGTGCACAAGCTTTCAATGGATTCTCTGTATTTCACACCTAAGCCCACTAAGCCCACTAAAGCTCACAATCCGCCTTTGGGAGCCATCTACGACCCTGCGCTGCAAAAGAAACCCGGCTAGGCGGACAGGCCTGCGTTGCAGATTTCGACCTCGCAGGAAGCGCCCAAAACAACACCTACGCCGCTACCCTGCAAGCAACATGACAGGCGTTGGCTACAGTATCCTGTGGGTTCTCCGTCGAACGTACACATAGCTGATGTGAAAGAAGCGCAACATACAACTGTATGCCAGTATGAGCATCACTGAAAGCTAATCGGAAGGCACTCTGCCATCCAAAACAATGACCCCGAATAGATCCACTGCCAATATCAAATTCATGTTCCTGTACATGGGACCCTGCTCTCCCACGGGACAATGTGGCACCAAAGGCCCATGCCATCTATCTCAAGCCATGAACGCTGAGTTGATCTGAGTTGCACGGAACCACTGTGAAGATCAAGCCATCACCCTTAAGACCATCCTGACCTACAACGTAAGCCGCATTGAACTTCTTGAGCCGAACCAAGACGAACATGCCGAGAGTTCGAACTCGACACAAAAGCAGGACCGTGGGTTTGCTAAGGATGCCACAGCCATCCCTAACTGGCCATAGAAACACAGTCGAGGTTTGGGAAGGCACATGCTCTGCCGGCCCAGGACAATCAGCCGCCGGGAGGGATGAAAGATGTACTAGTAGATGCAGGGGACAAGTAGAAGGTTACTCTGGCTCGCCAGATAAAGACGTACCTCTCCGCTTGTTGCCTGGAGTGCAGGGCTTCTTGGTTGCAGCTGCTTCGGGGGAGAACACGTGCATCACCGCTCATTTAGCCTGAGTGCCCTGCGTATCATCGCTCAGGCCGGGCCGGATGCCCGTTAATGATGCAGATGCTGCCTGCTGCGGTGCGCCCTGAAGGGATGCAATCTGTGAGCTACTCCGCGACCCTCTACATAAGAGCGACTCCATGACCCTCTGTGAGGAGAAGTGCCTTGATGCCAAGTATTCTAACTATGAGTGTCTTACAAGGATTTTACAAGTATGGCTCACGGCACCTTCTTCTAGCTTTTCTTCTAGCATTGCTAAATCTTCAGACTTGCCCTGAAACCAAAAGATGATTGAGGGTTTGTCTGCGAAAAGGTGTACTCGCTAAATAACTCAGTCGTCATTTACAATTAAAACCTGCGCGATAGCGCAGGGTTTTACAGCTGCCGGGGGGACGTACACGCACGAAAGCTGAAGCAAACGCTGCAGGATCTAAAACGCGGGATGTGTTTGAGACCTTTTGTAGTGCACCAGAAGCAGCATGCACACTTTCCTTGCCAGTCCTATGGTCCGGCTAGCGGCAAGCACCCCGCCAACAACTAATGCAGTTGATTGCAGTTGCGAGGTCCGCCCAAACCCCTGAAGCATCTTTCTCGGCAGGTCGCGGCTTCAGGGGTCCCTGACCCAAGACCCCAACTACATACGTTCCACAGAAAGTTTGTGTACTTGGATTCTTGCTGGAATCACAGGAGCACCGGGATATGTTCGTCGAACCCGCAGGTATCGATGGAGCGATGTCATGAGATCACGGCTACCACGGGTCGAATTAGAGCTTATAGGAAAGCATGAACCGAAAAGGTTGCAAGATCATGAACTATTAACCCTAAACTCTATAACCCCAAACCCTAAATATAGGTTAACTGGTGCCCTTACTTCGAAGAGTCAGAGTTTGCTCAGGCCTCGCTGGTCTTCTGCATGACGGCATTGCCCAACTGCCGGCCCCTAAATCAAAGCTACTGGGGTTCGAAGGCAAACTTTTCGGCCTGTCTAGGAGGTCTAGAGTAAGAGATCCGATCTCCGTCATCATGAGACTGTAAGCCTCGACTCAACATCACATGGCACACAATGAGGTGAAGCAAAAGGATTTGGCTCCCGGGTCTCTTAGCAAGCTGAGGCAGCAACTAGGCTTAGCGTGAAGGCTCCGGGCAAATGCCTAGCGGTCCATGCATGATATCTGCAGATGGTTCGCAAGCGCCAGGTGGTCATGCATTTACCGGGTGAAATCCCAATCCAATCTTGCCGCACAGCTCCCTCAAATGCTCAGCAAAAAAAACAGCAAGTCCCCCATCGCTTTTCCAAAAATCAAGCCTTCCATCACACTCGGCCGAACATTCACCAGGGGTGTGATAATCTCTGCTGAGATTTCTGTCAAGAGGGCCTCAACGAGATGGCAGTTGGACTCCCAAAGCCCTCTTCAAACCACAAGTTTCGTGCGGCCAGGGCCACCCTAAACAACAAGAAGCGGGAACTACGGCAGGTCTTTCACGAGCTTTCCTTTGCTGCCAGGTCTGGTGCGGTAGTCCACGGAGACAAATATGACACAGGGTGGCTTCATGATGATTCATGCCGCTGCTGGTGATTCTTCTCTCCAAAGCATCGAGATGAACAGCTTAATCCGCTGCTCAGCCCGACGCCTTGCTGGAGAGAAGAATCAGAAGCAGCGGCATGAATCATCATCGGTTCAGTCGGCCATCATCAGTCAGGCGAATCTGCCGAGGGCGTAGAGCAGAGCGGAGCTGTGCGAAGTCTGGGCGAGAGCTTTCCGACAGGCCCAGTGCTCGGCGCAGCTGCGTTTTGAGAAAGACCTGCTGGACAGGGTCCAGGCTCCGTGACGTCGCATGCGATGCAGTAGTGACCGTGACTCACCACTGCAGCCTGCCAGGGGAGGTGGATTGACGAGGAAGATCCAAGTGTGACCTATGTCGTAGAGGCAGGTGCTCGCGCGATCGTATGGTGACGACAGTTGCAACTTGGACCTTCCGAGATCGGCAGGGACCCAATGTAAGCAGCCGCCGAGAATAATTGCAGCCACGTTTTGGGCATCATTGCTGTTGGGATTCTGGGCTGTGGCAGAATAACACTTGAAAGCTCAATGCCAGCAGATGGTTGCTGCAAACTTAATCAAGCTCAAGCGAAGCCTCCAGCACCCACTTGCAAGAGCTTTTGCCCAATCTAGAAAAAAGCCAGACCCTGAAACCGAAACTTCTACATGAGGGCTTTTTGTCAATAGGCGCAAGTGTGGCTGCCGGCAGTCTGCGTCAGAAAGGACTGGCCTGGGGCTTGAAGCGGCTGGGACTGAAGTCCCCAAACAACCGAGGCTCAGGTTTTTGAGTAAGACATGGGTGCCTGAGACACTATCACAACTCTAACTCTAACTAGTGTACTCACGCGCGCGGAAGCTGGTGGCGACAGAATCCAAAAGGAGCATCCAAAGGAGCATTGCCACAGGTGGGAGATTGAAGCTTGGTGTGTGCTCACAAGACCGAGCAAAATCATTTCTTCGAGTCCAGAAACCTATACTGCAGCAGTACGTCACGAAACCTGAAGAGAACCCACCACATGCAACCCTAAACACTTCGATGTGACGTGCCAAACGATACAGTAGCTGGGCTTTCCGGACTGCGCTTGCCGCCTGTTTCGGCGTGCCGCCGCCGACGCGCACGCCACCACCGATAGGAACGCCGCCTTCGGGTCCAGAGCTTTGGCATTTTTTCCCAACCAGGCTACGAACTGTAAAGAAGCCCAACATGGTCGGGGTTACCTGGCAGGGTAGTGCTGACTCTGCTTGCCCCAGAGCCTGTGAGAACAGCCAGACTTTCGCTTAAAGCGCTGTGCGGTCTGTTGCTGCATGCTGTCTGATGGCTGCTGTGCAGCTGGCAGCACCTGAGAACTGTCTGTGAAACACCTGCTTCTACTCGCCGTTGACGCACAACGAAGATGTGGCTCGAAGCTCTGTGGGAAGGCGACGGCTAACCGAGGCGCCATGGCTCCTGAAACTGGCGGTTCCAAATCGCGCCACCTTTGGGAACTCCTTCCCAAGTTGGTAGGAGGTCGTCTTCTTCGTCGATCTCCTCTTCACTCTCTTCCTGCTCCATGAGCTCGTTTCCTTCCTGCTCCGGTGCATTGTCGTCCATCTCGCGCTGGAAAGCGGAATTCTCCAAGAGAGGTGGGAAGCCCGGAATCCAGCAGCTGGTCAGGGCCGCGTAGTTCACATAGAAACCTGGAAACTCATCGTAGAGCTCCTTCTCTTCCTCCATGGTGACGTGGAGGAGCGATGCCCACAGCACGAAGCCGACCATCACCAGCATGCCCGGGTTGCACAGGGCCAGCTGCGTGCCTAGACCCCAGAGTAGAGCTCCCAGGTACGCTGGGTGGCGTTCCCAGGCATAGGGACCTTCACGAACTACCCGGCGATTCGGAATCTCCAAGCCCACCAGCTCATCCTCCTCGAGCTCCCGTGTCGAGGCCCAGAAGTTTCTGTCCGCCACGCGTGCAGCCCAGCTCACCAAGCCCTGGCCCAAGGCCATAGACACAATGCCTAAAAGGACAAGAGGCGTCCATAGCTTGAAGTCTGGGAAGTATCTCCATTCCAGAAAGAATTCCAGGCAGCTCAGTGCCACGGCTGCGTCATAGGCAGGGAAGACCGGGAAAAAGAACGACAACGTGGAGAGGTAGTCTGGTGGCAGAGTTTTGCACTCTTTCAAGTAGCTCTGCAGGTATAGGATGCACGCGAAGATGACAACGATGGACCATGGCCCCAGCGAGCCTTCACCATCTGCAGCCAAAAGCCAGGAACCAAGTTCCGCCAGAGCATGTCCACCGTGGAACGCCAGCACACAGCACACCAGAAGCAGCGCCCACTCGCTGCCATAGTCCCGCAGAAGGATGATGAGCGCAAGATGGCAGGCCAGGAAAGACCATACCAAGTAGTAGGCCGAACAGGGCTCGAGGATGGAAACAACAAAGCCAAAGAGCGCCCCCACGGCAACAGCGGCCAGGCCACGAGAAGCCTTCTTCTTGTCCGGGTACTCGAGCTCGTCGTAAAATCGCGTAGGCGCAGGTGGCACCACGACCTTGCCCTTTCTTGGTTCAGGCAGAGTCGGAGGGGCTGTGTAGCGAGGATTGTGAAGGTGAGCTCGCCACTGTTCAATCTGCTGCATACGTTGGCGCTGTTGGGCGAGGTGCATCTGCTGCATCATCATCTCTCTTCTTCGCATCTGCTCCATCAGCGCAGCAGGGCCCTTGCTGTCACCTTCCTCCGGAAGCTCCACACCTTCCTTGGCCGCCAGAGCTTTCAGCACCGCGCTGTCAGGGCAGAAGAAGAGCCCCTGCCTTAGCACTGCTGCAGCAGCTTCCACATGGCCCATCTCCTTGAACTCCTCATATTTTTGCAGGATGGCGAGTCCGCGATCTGGTGGAGCATTGGCACCAGCGGCAGCGTTTGCCGGAGCAGCTTTCGGTTCGTTCGCCTCCGGTGGCTGCGATGAACTCGAAGACTCGTCATCCGAGGCCTGCAGAGGCTCTAGAAGCTCATTGGGTTTCGCGGCCTCGTCAGGAGTTTCGTTTGACGGCGGATCCTCCGTGCTCGGGTCTGCCTCTTGCTGTCCTGAGGGCTCCTCTGCGTGAAGCTTCTCAGAACCCTGGTCGACATCGTCGGTCGCAGGGTCTGGCTGTAGCTCTGAAGGGTCGTCCTCCACCTGCTCGCCCTCCTGCGATGCCGGCGGATCCTCCATGGCTTCTAGCCAAAGATTTTACGGCATCTTGCGATGCGGAAGTGAAAATGGTTTGAGCCTGTTTAAAGGGCTGTAGCAATTTAAGTTTGGCATTTAGGATGTGAGGTTTTTTCGCTGTGCCGGCTTCGGGCTTCAAGCTTCTTGAAGTGTAAGCATCTTAACCCCTGACAGATATTCTATCGCAGAACCACCGATATAGAAGTATTGCAGCATATCCCCAAGCAGAGTGCCTTGCCCCGATTTGCAAAAAGGCTACATCCGTCATCGACACGCCGTGTCGCAAGGACAACAGCAAGTTCCTAAGTTGCATCAGCTTTTTACGATTTCGGGGAAATCATCGGTGGCAGCTGTTCACGTGTTCACCCCTGAAGTGCAAAAAACGGCACTCCAAACCTGATCATAAAGTCTGTCTGATCCAGTCTTTGCCTTGCAAACCATGTGTCCAGATCCCTAATCGGAATGCGGAATGCTCTTTATGTTCCGAAACGTTGACCCTAAATCATACATGTTATGTGCATACATATTTCTGACTACACGTACCAGCACCCTGCTTGTTTGTTTGCGGCTTGTTCGCACTCCCTCCCCAAACATAGATCGATAGACACAAAGATAGCTAGCTAGATAGATAGATAGATACAGATGCAAATGATACAAATATACAGATACATCGATAGGTAGACAAATAGATAGATGCGAATAGGCTGGTAGATATCATTCATTGTTATAGGTACACCCACACGTGCACACAACCTGACCTACCTGTCCGGCAGGAGAAATGTACACATCACTGCCCATGTGGGACCTCCCCGGCTGCCAATGGCCAGGCCCGCCGCCTCTCTCACACAACTCTGCAAAAAGCATGCATTTGTGCTCGCTCGCTTACAGGATGATACTTACACTGGGAAATCACCTATCATCGGATAGAACTTATCACCGTAATCCATGCACTGCACTGCTTTGCATACCATCAGTTGGTGCAAGACACGGTTTGATTCGTTTGACCGGAACTCTATTTGTGGTGGCTTGAACTACACATACTACGGTTGGCACTAACTAAACTATCGATGGTAATGCTTCCGTTGCGGTTAATGCCTTTGCTCGTGTTTTCGGGTTTCCTGTTCACTTCAGTAGAATGCTAGCTGAGTAATAGTCGTTGTGCGGGATGTTTATCGAACTATCCACGACCTGTATCTGTGATGCGCCCGTTTTTGTCAACGCACCTCACCAGCTAAACAGGAAATGTCAACCCTACAACTTGAGCTCGGACTGCACAACCACGCATGCCTGTTTAGCATCCGGATCAGGGATCATGGCATTCCGGGCTGGACGTGCCCCAAATCCTGAAGACTACAAAGTTCGCCTTAGGCCTCAAGCTGAACATTGTGGAATGTCTGCGCTGTCATGGCAAATACCTCTACGATTCGAGTACGCTGGGGTTAGTCGGTTCCAAATGCCTTCGGTACCGGAACCCAAAGTTGAGTCAGCTTCTGAGCTCCAGGTCCCAAACCCTATAGCCTAAACCGCAAATTAACCCACCCAACACTGGCCTTGGCTGGGGATGCGGAACTGCTGGCGGGCGCTGTACGCCTTAAAGCTTCGCAGCAGGCCCACATACATTTGCATTGATTGGGTCAGCTGCCAAAGTCATCACCTGCTCGAAGACAACTATATGTATGGCAGTAGGCAGGTGACCTGACAGGCAAAGACTTAGCATTGTTTCACCTACATGCCCACAGCCTGGCCAGGCTAGTGCTCCAGAAGTGTGGCATCTCGTGGGTACTCCTTGTCCAAAATTCGAACGACAACTGCTCTAAAGTGAATCTAGAGATTGGAGAAGAATCCAGAAGTTTCCGGAACTTCACCACCTGTGAGCCCTGGAGCCTCAAAGACGGGTCTTTGCTCCAGGCGGGGAAGGTGCAGAACTCGTTGAAATGCTGGGCCTCAGCTCGTGCGGTCAGTGTGGAGCATTGTGCTACAAAGCTAGCAAACCCTGTATCGTCGAAGCTCTCGTGGGGAATGAGAACCGGACCTAATTACCAATATCCAGATTGCTGCTAGCGTCGTCATGACTGACAAGTAAGTAATTACCAGGGCATGGTGGCAGTATGACGCTACGCTTTTCATCTTGAAGGTCTCTGGGGCAACTTTATTCCAAGGAGGTTCCGTCACTGTCTAGAAATAAACATATATTTCAGTGCGGACACACCTGATAAGAACACTCACGTTCACCGCTTCAGCTTTGAGATCAAAGCCAAGCACCAGGCTCGCGCTGGACGGACACGGGGGTGGCTGCAGGGCTTCCCAATGTCAGGGACGGCCTCAGGGTGACTCAACAAGGGCTCGAATCAGTTCCCTGCAAAGCTTTAGATTTTGGGGTTGGGGGTCCCTTTGGTCGGTTTGAGTATGGAGTCAGAAATCATGGTTCATTCTTTCTGTGCACGCCCGGCTGTGTGTGCAAACCGTTACAACGTGGGCGCAGTTGCTTCCGAGGTTCACTAGCTCTCTTCTCTTAAGGTTAGTTGTCACCAATGTGTATGTTGGCGTCCTCGGTGCTGAAAGTATGCAATCTTATCAATCTTGCTGCTGCTGCTGCTGCCTCTGCTCCTAAGTTCGTCGCGAATGTTGACTACCAGAGCATCTAAGTGCACGTGTATTCAAGCTGATGTTTAATCACAGGGCTTTGGGGCTACAGGAAGCGCAGAGATGCGAAATGGAGCAGACAGGCGCCGGGCGGCTTGGGCAATGTTTGCTGCGAGCCCACCGTGCTTGCAGAGGACCTCGAGCTGGCTAAAAGACTTTTGTTGCCTCCTGCCTGCTAGGATTAGGGCTTGAGGCTTAAGCGGCTTGAGTCTAGGTCTAGGTTCGCCTCATCGCCGTGAGGATTGAAAGGTCCTTCTGTGGATGCTGCCAGCACTACTTGCCCAGAAAACCTTGTCGGGTATTTGGTTCTTTCGCTGTCTGACCGTCAGCAGCTTGCAGCCAGAACAGAATACAAGTAAGGGTGCATTCGGCCATCCGAAATGGCCCTAAAACCTCAAACCTCCAACCCTACATGCCATACAAACAAGATGCCGTATGAGCCCTAAAGCCCATGGTACTGGGATGCACTGGGTAGCCCCGCATGGAAGCTGCGGGATAGCCCGGAGCCTCGCCTTGCCTGCTGCGCTTGTCGTGGAAATGACTTGCACATGGATTTAGGGTTTAGGGTCTAGGGCTTAGGGTTTAGGGTCTAGGGTTTAGTTGCTTTTGGGGTCCTTTTGGAAAAGGGTGCCGTACTTTTTTGGGGATCGAAAAAGGGACCCTAATTTAGAGAACTGCCCACATGGAGATCAGACTACCGTACAGTAGTGCTGGCCCATCACCATCATCAGCAGCACCATCATCATCATCATCAGTGGATATCAGCGGCATCAACATTCAGCTATACATATATCAGCAACTGTTCCCAATGTCATCTGCTGTTCGGCTATTCTTACACTGTCCGCAAAAAAATCATTTCTCTTACTTACAAGTACAACTAGTTCGATGTAAATACATGGGTTGTTCTACCCTTCTCGCGAGGAATTGCGCTGCAACTGGAAAGACAAAACTGCTGCGGCGGCTATCTGAGCCAGCGTCCAATCGCATTGTGTCAGGGCAGCAGTTGGATGATAGAGAAACGAGTCCTATTGCCAGGGTATGTCTTTGAATACGAGGTGAGCAGGACAGCAGCATGCCAACAAGAACTGAAGTGCACCAAGCTATTCTTGGTCTTGTGAATCGAAATTGGCGCCTTAGACTTCAAACTCTTATCTTAGACTGCCCCAAGCACCAACTACGTTCCCCTACAGTCCCCAATCTCAAGGCCGCAAGTCCCAAAGGAGTGACCCAAAGACGTAAAGCCGGCCCCCGGCACTCGAAGGAAAGCCTCGTTTGCGTCGCAGAGAGCCGGGGCGATGCTACCGGCGTGGCTGTGCGAGGTGTCTGTGGCGCACCTCGGTGTGGGGAAGGTCTGGGGCCCGGGGTTCACATTTTGGAGGTCAAGGGTTTACGGGGAGTGGCGTGGGATTCGGATTTTGACTTGGAGAGCTTCGGAGCCTTGCAACCAAGGAAGACCTCCAAGGGCATTAAATAACACGAACACGTAAACCATCGTACGTGCTACAACCCACCCTCAAACCCCCGAAAAGAACAGCCTCGAACCTTGAGGTCTCTCCTTCCTGCACTCCCTTAGAGGCCAAGTCTGACACTGGCGGCAGCGGCCACCAAAGGGACCTGCGAGGTGGCCTGGGAAGCTGGGATCTCAGGTTTTACCGTGAGTGAGTGAGTGAGTGGGTGAGTGGTTGGGTGGGTGAGTGAGTCCGCGGGTCAGTGAACCAGTGTGTGTGTACGTCAATATGTGTATATAAATAAATAAGCAAATAAATGAATATATCTATCTATCTATCTATCTATCTATCTATCTATCTGTGTGCGTGTCTCTGCGTGTGTGTGTGTGTGTGGGGTGTGGGTTTTGTGTGTGTGTGTGTCTGTGTCTGTGTCTGTGTCTGTGTCTGTGTCTGTGTCTGTGTCTGTGTCTGTGTCTGTGTCTGTGTGCGTGTGTGTGTGTGTGTGGGTGGGTGGGGCTGTGTGGGCTGTGTGTGTGTGTGTGTCTGGAGGTGTAGGTGTGTGTGTGTGTGTCTGGAGGTGTAGGTGTGTGTGTGTATGTGTCTGTGTGTATGTGTCTGTGTCTGTGTCTGTCTCTGTCTCTGTCTCCGTCTCTCTGTGTGTGTGTGTGCGTGGGTGTGGATGCGTGGGTGGGTGGGTGGGTGGGGGGTGGGCTGTGTGGGCTGTGTGGGTGGCAGGATGTAATTCTGGGTTCAAAAGTGACTGAAGGGCAAAGGTAGGCTCAACCATGACTTAGTCTCACAAGCAACACTGGTAGTGGTTGGAAACGCAGGCTGTCATCATGACAGGCAGTAAACCGAACAGTAGCCACAGGAAGGTCACTAAGCATGAAATCGGACGTGGGATGCAAACAG